GCGAAATGGTGCAAGTGGGTCACTTTAGTTATAGGAGTGTGCAGGTCTTCACAAAGCGGTTCTCTGAGTATCATGGTGCTCCCACTTAAATGACAGCGAGGAGGCTGATCGCGCCAAAGGGTGAGGGGCACGGTGATTGACCGTTTACGCCCAATACGATCATCGTGGAACCGTACAGCTTTGTTCGCTGCGGATGCTGGGGCGTGTCATAGGGCGGGTCTAGCGCTGTGCTAGTCCGTCATCCACCAGCTATTGTCGCTTGCTCGCTTCGATAGTTGATGGAGAACGAGCTGGCGCGACGCCAAACCCATCGCTCCGCCCCTCCCCGACACGCCCCAGCATCCGCAGCGACAAGAGTGTACCCCCAAGGTGGCATACCTAGATAACGAAACTTTGACAAAATCTGCTATTCATACCAAAGAGCGTTCATACCTAGGTCTTCTTCTCTTTCAGATACTCTACAGGTTATCCAATAAGTCGCTGGGTAGGAAGTAATCAAAGAGTCCCACCCTCTGCAAGGATGAACGCTATGCTTATCAATGAGCAAATGGAGTGCAGGAAGAGTCACAACGCGAAACGCAGCGATTCCGCTCTTCCTTCCGGTAAACCACCAGGTTGACGTGATAAAGTTCCAAGAAGATCTCCATGAAATTGTTCATTATTTTCAATGCGTACATTGACTATCAAGTTATTTTAACTTTACTCGTTGTATAGTAACTTCCTACTTCTTCTGTAGTATGGTTCTGAATTGAGTTTTACCAGAGGTTTGTAAGTGTAGCAATAAAACTTGCATGCGAAAATTATGTAGTCTGTTTGGAACAGTGATTTGATGCTGATCGGCTTGGAAAGGTTCATGCACTTCCGCCGCGGGTTTCCTCTGTTACTTCTCCCTAATTCACACCTCTACATTAGTGAGACCCGTAGACTTGTCAAGTGTAAACGAAGCTTCTGGCATTGCATAGATTTACGGGACAAGTCTCTACAGGAGACATCGGCAGTGATCAACGGGAACCAGCAAAATGCCCCTTTCAAACTGCGCCCCGTAGTTTTCATAGCGATTAGGGACCTCACTCATTCTGTGCGATCACTTCTTCAGAGTCGTTGCTGGACAATTACGCACTCTCAAAGACACACACCGCGATTATCTCACGACGGAGCCCTTCCTTTGCCTAAGGAGCCCAAGCCCCGACTGCGGTAGTTGTCGCGCTTCTGCCCTTCAGAACTTTGTGCAATTGAACTGCACAAAGAGACTGCGATGACAGACAGACAGACATACAGACAGACAGATAGAGAAATAAACAGAGACAAGCAGACAGAGCTCGTCCAGTCATTTGAGTGGTAAGATACTATGACCTACCTTTTCGCTGTCGCCCAACTTCTCCTTCCATAACTCCCACATTTCCGAATACAATGAGCTGCTGCTGACAAACGCGTTGCGCAAGGGGGCGTAGTCATGGGTTTCCGAATGTCGGGAGGATCAGCTGGTTTGGATAACGAGAAAATAGAAGAGATGTAGTGAGGTTCATCACATTTATAACATCTAAAGAAAAAAACTATTTTCTACGTAAATAATGAACATTGGGCCACCATTGACAATTGGACAAATATTATCCGCATGGCTTCATAATAAAATGGAGTTAGGGCAGCGGCTCGGCACCTTCGCTTGGTCTGGGAGCCAAACCCCATCATAGAGTCAAACTAAGCCTTCTAATCCCTCGAACTGGTGGCCACTACAAAATGGGTTACGCTTAACTCTTCCCACTAAGGCTGCGTTTATACTAAGCTTACGCTGGTGAAACGCTGGCGAAACGCTTGTGACGCTGGGAACGCTAGTTCAATATCCATCTTCTTCCCGGCACTGCCGCTGGTACGCTGGAAGCGCTACGCCACGCTGCCGCAAAGTATAAACGCAGCCTAAAGGATCTTTCTTGGAATCCTGTGATAAATGATCCTTGTTGGTAGGATCCACACCATGTTCACAACAAGTTGCGCCTTCAAGTCACCAAAAGCTCACTTCTCTCGGCAAGGCCCACCCACTCACGAGCTCCGCCTCCCTGGCGAACGGAAACATTTTCCAGTAATATCTGAGCTGCTGATCTGGTCCACTGCTACCAGATTAACAGCGGACAAGAGGGGGGGGGTCGTATCAGACCCTTTTTAGAGGTCGTATTTAGCAGAAATTATCACGACGCGATGGCGTGCCCTGCTGCCACCTGCCGTAAATACCGGATAAATGGCTAGCGTCGCGCCGAACCCAGAAATCCGACCTGAGCCGGCATCCTCAGCAAACAAGACTCATTCTTCCTATGCTATGTCAAAAAGTTCCCCATGGAGAATCGATTTTCTGAGGCTCCGAAGAGAAATTATGAAGCCTTCGCAGGCCAATTTTTTTTCTGGATGCGCCACGCATTCCATTCGCGTTCAGAATCGTAGTGGCGTGCTGAGACTGATATGTCCCATTCAGTGGCTTGCGGGATCAGGCCCTGTACAAGTTTAGCTGAAATTTGAATTGAGTGTCTATTTTTACGTCACACGAATTTCGTCGTTATTTTTCCAAGGGGTGTTTCAAAGCAGCTTTGAGCTCTAAATTTCACACGTGCCCTTAGATGTTTTTATCTTTCAAACAACCCTACGCTGAATTTCTGAGGGCCTCGAAAGCGATGAAAGGTTCGGATGACTTACCTGAAAGCAAGCCAAGCAGGAATTGACAACCAGACTCGGGTTCGGCGTCACTGCACCACTCCTCCTCGTGCGAGCTTCGCGAAAACTAATTCTTCCGTCTTAAAGGCACAGTTCGCGACCGCAAATTGCGGGAAACGGAACTCAAATAGGCACAAAAAAGTGCTAAGTATCTGATTAGCGGAGAAAAGCAGCAGAAAAAGCAGTCCGAGCGATTCTGAGCGTCGCAGTCGAGGCGATCGCCGCCACATGCGCTTACGCGCGCACGCCGTCGACGCCTGGCAATCCCCAGAGTGCATTACGTACTATCCGAGTTATCATTGGAGCAAAGCATATTAGCTGGTGACATATTTGACATTGACATTTTGTTGCGTGGCGTTGGGTGTATGGCTTGGCGCGATTTTTCTCATTGCCCACACGTCAAATCCTGTCAGGCAAACCTACTTCCAGATAAATCCAACCTGTTACAACACGTCAACTGTAACGTGATCGCGCCAAACGTTCAAATTGTTAAAGGGTCGATGATCCCTTTAACAATTTGAACGCCACGCAACAAAACACGTACGCGGCGGCCGCCACGCCGCCTCGCTCCGCCCACCGGCGCGACGACGCCCACGAGTGGAGAGAACGCAGAGCAGCAGAAAAAGCAGTCCGAAATGTTATAGAGAAAGATAACATAGTGGCTACTAGCTAGTAGCTAGCAGCCGGTGAGGGTCGGCATGGGCCTAAGGGGTGTCCATGGGCCTAATTAGTCAGCTTCTAGCGGAGTTCTTGCCGTTTTTCACATTTTGAAAGTAGCGCAGCCTCAAAAATCGCCTTTCCGGATCGTCCGACACATTTGAGAGGTCATAGCCTTATTTTATCGCGGAATGTGCCTTTAAGTACCCTTTGATGAAGATCCACACCGATCTTTTCATCACATTTGTAAGAATGGTAGGGAAAAAGTGATAATAGCTTTAAGAATGCTACGACACTCAAAAGTACTTACACTTCCAATCGTACCCATCCACATGGGGAACATTGTCGCCAGTCCAAATAATCAGGTCCGGATTGGGGATTAGTCGTTTCGCCTCATCCAAAGCATGTACGACAGATGGGCTTGAAGAGAGCTCACGCGTTTCCCAGGTAGAGAGGGTCCCCGTATGATTAGCTGTGCCGTATCGGGGCATTTTTTTTTTCTTTCAGGTTTACTTTATACGGCACGCAGCCTATCACTATTGTTAACAGATTCTAAAGTCGTAATGTATGACTGTTACTAATTTTTCTACAAAATCTAAATCAAACTGGGCATTTTTTAATGCCTCATGCAGTCCAGCATTGAACGACGCCACAGATCAGAAAGACCCTTGCGACGTCGCATGCGGCGAATCGATGGGTAATGTTTGTCGCGCGCGGCACTTGCATTACAAGCGCCGCGGGCAGGGTGACAGCACGCCAATGACACCGTGACTCCTCTTAGCCGTACGCTTGAGCTACGATAAAGCATCCTAGTACTGATAATTTACCTTCGGTGAGTCACACATGTAATCTCCAAAAGGCCCCAGGCGGCTCTTGGTGACATTGCCGGTGTCATGACACATGTGCTGGTTGTCTCCCGTTACAGAATAGTCAACGTCTAAGTGAAAATCCGCCAAATGAAGAACATTGAGTGCAGCGGCACCAGCCACCAGAGCCAAGACGAACAGCATTCAATCGCCTCTTCTTCCACTGGCCTAAAAACGGATATTGAAAGTATGACAATATTTTGAGAAACATAGAGTCCAGACTGTAACGACGCGAAGCGGCACTCCAGATTAGCAGAATGCCAACCACGTACAACGTGACTGATGACGGTATTTTGGAAAAGAGAGTAATAGTTAAGATAGGTATGACCTGCTCCGGCGCCAACGTAATCCGGAGACGGGAGGGACGGGCAGCGCCTCTATTTCCCCTCTCTCTCTCCGAGGTTCAGGCTCACCAGCGATGGTCAACAGGTCAGTCCGACCACTTTGCAATGAGATGTACACCGTTGTACGCGTCTCAAGACGATGAACTCAATCTTTTTTCTAAATTTGCGAAACGGTTGTCACGGAGTACCTAACCCAGCCCAACTTTTTTCGGAGTTGAGACAGACTCAGATTTTGCTAGATTGCCCCAGCTGGGGGTTATTTGACCTCCTGAACGAAAATATTACACCCGTTTTGCTCGAAAGTTGGTTATTTCGCGGGCTATAGGTGCCGGCCCTTCAGCGCCAGCGGGTACCGGCCCTTGGCGCCAGCGCGCCTTCAAGGAAAAAACTGTGAGAAAAACCTCAATAACTCCGTTCAGAGAACCGTTCCGCAAATTCTGAAGGTGGATATGAGTTTCCGTCCCAAGCGCGTATAACGATGTGCACCTCATTGCAAATGGCCGGACTGACCTGTTGACCTTCCCTGATCAGCAGAGCGCATGTATACTCGAAATCCCTGAGATCGGGTAGGCGTGGCCGCATGTTTCAACTTAACCTGAAGGTGTCTATGCTTCTGGTGAGATATTTTCATCTTGACACAATTGTTGTCGTGTCTCTGTCCAACACAGAACAAGATGACAGTTGTCCCAGACTGGAATATTCCACGAGTAACCAGTTCCGTGCCATGTTCAAATGCCACGCC